CCTCACTGCTGCTCTCTGCTGTCTTGGCTGCAGGAGCTGCTTTTGCTTTGGGCACAGCTGATGCTTTAGCTGCAAATAAGGGACAGCATATATTGATAAGTTAATTGACATTTTTTATGTACCTATATCCTGCACTAGTGGGTATTAGGGCTAAAGGATATATAAAGGTCATTAAACCATGACTGAAGTTCACAACACTGACTTTGTTTCTCGAGCAGTGTGAGAGACTGCTCTAAAATGGGTAAGCAAAAAGATAAAACCATTCTAGAATTTATCTTTGTCACACACAAATTAAAGTGCAGTTTTCTATCACCAAAAATGACAGCCCACAAAGAAAGAGCACCCCTCAAACTGAGATAATATTAGCTGAGTCTGCACACCTCTCAGTTTAAGAAGCTGCTGAACAAGTACAGACAGGTGCTTGCAAAGAGAACCACTGCAATGTCGTGTTAAGGTTCCAGACACCCAAATGTGTTTTGGCCAAATCCATTTCCTGGTTACTGATTGCTTTTCAGTAATGTGGAGAAAAAAAAAGAAAAAAGTTTTGTCTTACATTATATTTACAACTGTCCTTATCAAATAAAAATCAGATATAAGTTCAAATGCAGCTTTAGGATGGGTCAAACCAAAGCTAGACACACACAACCTTGTGTACAGTGATTAATAAATGATACAAGAACAGTTGCAGATAAAATGGAAAAATACAGCTCACCACACAGCAAAGGGATGTATTTTTTGGTAGCACTAGTACACGAGCTCTAAAAGAAAAAGGGTAGCAACCTCACACAGGCAGGTGAGTATGGATGCCTGGCACTTCTTTGGAATGGCTAAAACCTTCCATGGGACACAAACTGCTGTGCCTAAAGTTTAGCAAGATACAGAGATCACTCTTAACTAAAATTAAGCTATCTTCCATGCCTTGGGCAAAAGACCAACCAAAATCGAGATCAGTCAATACAAGCCTAATCCTGATAGCTGCTGAAAGGCCTCCCAAGAGCTGCTGAAGCTGAGCTCTAAACGCACATGAGAAGCCAGCGCCAAACACAGCCCCGGCGTGCACAGGGCCGCGCACAAACCTACCAGGCTTCTTGGCCGGGGGTTTCTCATCCTCCTCGCTGGAGCTGTCACTGCTGCTGGCCGACGGCTTCCTCTTGGCCTGGGCGCCGTTCGGGACCAGCTTTCTCTTCTTGGCCGCTGGAGACCTGCGGGAGAAGGGCTGAGCGGGGCCTGCGGGGCGCGGGCCGGGCAGAGGGGCCCGCACCGCGAGGGCACTTACCGCAGCCAGTAGGTGAAGATGTCCAGCAGCGAGGCCGCGTTGGGGTCCTGCTCCTTCTAAAGCGAGAGAAGCCGCGTCAGCCAGAGTCAGTCAATCGCTGAGCCCCCGTCCCGTCCCGTCCCGTCCCGTCCCGCCCGCCCCGCTCCCCGCTCACCGCCGCCGCCTCCCTGGCGAAGGCGCGCGCCGCGCCCTGGCAGCCGCTCTCGCGCAGGAACGCGAGCACGAGGGGGAACAGGTCACTGGGCACCGCGCGCCGCTCCGCCATGATGCACACGCCGACACGTGCTGCGCGCGCACGCGCTAACGCCTGCGTGCGTGCCTACGTGCGTGCCTGCGTGTGCGCGCCTGCGTGTGCGCGCCGCCGCGGCCCCGCCCCTGCCGCTGCCTCATTGCCCGCGCGGCGCCGCTCCGGGGCGTTATGGGAGCGCGGGCTGGGACCGGGAGGCTGCGCTCCCGGCGTGAGGGCATAGAACCGCTCGGTATTGGTGCCTGCGCCAAGGCAACGCGCAGTGCCGAACGGCTGCCTGTGGTGCAAAGGCAGGAGCGGAGTTGGGAACCCGGCAGTGCCCGCTCGGCTCTGGAAGCGGGAAAACTTAAACTTAAGTCCGCTTAAGCCTCACCAGCTTACTCCTATTTGTAATGCGTTTTAAATCACCGGAAGGAGAATATTGAGGGAAGTCTGGAGAGCAGGAGTTGGGTTGGTCTAGGGAGGAGAAGCAGCTGGGAGCTGCGGCCAGCCTCGGCGCTGGCAGGGCTCTCAGCGGCACAGCCCGGCCCGGCCCCGCTCCGCGCTGGCAGGGCTCTCAGCGGCATAGCCCGGCCCGGCCCCGCTCGGGCAGCGCGGCGGGCAGGGCTCAGCGCTGCTAGCGGCGTTCGCCGGTAGTCAGGAAAATGGGCTGTGAAGCAGCTGGACCCGTACAGAAGCGCACTGAATACTCCTACTAAATCCTTTTATGTATGGACTAACATGAGACTGTGTTGCAGAAAAGAAACTGTTCGCAGGAACTCATGTTTCCTAGTTTTTTGGAGTTTCCCTCTACAGTAACCTACAGGCTGCAAGCTTCATCTGCAAAGCTCAGCAAACTTTTATGCTTTTGCCTACATTGGAAAGGAAAAGATGCAGCTTTTGCTGTAAACTGTGGTTACTTTAAGCCCCGCTGTGTGAAGTAACTGCCCTGAGGAGGCAGGGAAATAACTGTGTTTGCTTCACTGGCTCACTTTGCTTCTCCTCTGGTTAATGAGTATCTCCCTCTCCAGCCTGGCCTTTGCCAGTTCGTCTGTTCCCTGTGCTGTGTGGCAGCTGCTCTTCAAAGGTGTGCGGCTCTCCGGGTGTGTTCCCCTGTGTTGTGCCTGCAGCTGTCCAGATGACCTGGCAGGGAAAGCTGTTTCGTCCTTGTATTCCTCAAGACAATATTGAGAGATCCTAGGATCTAAAAGGCAAGCAAATGCAAGAGATTTATGTTACTGCTTGTGAATTCCTTTGTTCCCCTCACCTACTCCCAAGTCTTTTTAGTCCTCCCCTTGTCTGCCACGTGTCTTTTGTTAAGGCTGCAGGGAGAACTATGCATGGGATCTTTTAAATATTACAGTGACTAAACTGCCCCCAGCACTTGAGATGAGGAGGCCCCAGAGCAGAGCAGGCCAACCCCCTCCCTTGCCCAGCTGGCCATGCTGTCCCTGATGCCCCCCAGGACAGGCTTGGCCCTCCTGGCTGCCAGGGCACTGCTGCTAATGTTCAGTTTGCCATCACCCAGGTCTGTTTCTGCAGCACTGCTCTCCTGCCTCTCATTTCCCAGCTCATCTCGGAAGAGAACATTTCCATTAGGGGTCTCTGGCCATTCCACTCTTTCCATGACCAAGAAAAAGTGAAGAGAGGTAGCATTAGTATTCAAATACATACTCAATCCTTTCCTTGTTACTGGTTGTAAGCACCTAGCAAAAAAAACAATGGCTCCAGAAAGAACAATCTAGTCATTTTCTTTGGACAGGGAGAAGACAGACCCTTGAGAATAATGCCACAAATGCAGCTGTGTTCGTATGCTGCAGTGAACTGAAGTGAGGAAAGACTTGTACTGTCAATTTTGGGCAAGGTAGGATGAAATCCTCCCTCTATTTCTTCTCTCTCTTATTTTTCTTTAATTTTTTCTTTAGGACATTTGTAAGTGATTGTTAGGCCTGCCTACTGTGGTAGGGTGTGGAGGGGCTTTTGCCTTGATTTGCTATCTGAGTTTTTAGTTGGAGGTTGCTGAAACAACACACTAGCAGTTATTTTACTCAACTCATTTGTGGAGGCACGTTAATTTCACTTTAAAGACTTGGGAATTTTAAATGCTGAAGAGGCTTTGCATTGATTAAATAAAATGCAGAGTATCCTAAGTGACACTGACTGACATGGAGAAGCCCTGTGGGTTCCCTGGAAGCTGACTCTGCTTACCCTCTCTGTGTTACTGCAAGGCTTTAATGAGAGAGAATTTAAAAGCTGCTTTCATAAGAGCATGCTGAAATTCTCATCTAGCATCAGAAAGATGATTTTATTTTTAACTTTTTATACTGGAAGTTGGAAAATACACAGCTTAACAAGAGAAAATGTGGAACAGTCATAAAGTTGTACATGTGGTTATCCATCTGTTAAAATACTTCTTAAAATATACTTGCTGTTCTGTAATAGTAAAATAATTGGCTTATAGACTCTCGTTTCCAACTAGTTAACTTTTGTCTTTCACATAAATCCCAAGTTGGTTCTGTATTTGCACACTTGTCCAGTGTCCATGTGTTCTTTATTCTAGTGTATCTTTTTGGGATGATTCAAAGGGGAAAGTTTCTTCTTTGCATACCTGGAGTTACTCATAAGGCTTTATCATCAGGAAGTGCTTTTTTGTTCTAGTACTTCCCTATTGAGAGAAAAAACACCTTGGTTTTGGAAGACAGGCAGTGGCACAGGGTTTGTAAGCTTAAAGTAGGTTTTGAGTAAAGAAAGATTTGGAGGTAACAAGAGAGTTTGACTAACTTCTAAGATAGAGTTAGTTAGTGGAAAATAGTTGGTTCCTTTCTGCTTGTAAGCACCTCTGTTCTAACATTAGTGGTGACGCTAAGCTGCGTACAGAATGTTCACCGACTGCCTTGACTGGGAAGCCAGGTTGTAAGGGGTCAGCTTTTGCTGTGCTGAAGTGCATCAATGGAAGATCTCACTGGTTACAAGTATTTCTTCGAAGTTTGCAAAGGAATAGGCTGAATAATTTAGGCAGAATCTGTTGCTTTGTCTTCAGTGACAAAATTAGTAAGTTGAGTCCTACTCTCTGAACAATAATCGTGTTTTTCTGCTGCTTTTTGTGTCTGTAATCAAACATGGACATCTAACAGAAAGGAGTGAATTTCATTTGAAAGCAGCATGTTCTCAATGAAAATACAGAACATCGAGCTACTTCATTCTGTAGAGGGCAACTTCGCTCCTCCCTTGGAGTTTTCCTTGCTCCATGACAAAACCTAAGTTAGGGATGAGTATAAAGCAGGTATCGCTTGTTATTACTGTAACACAGCCTTTCCTCGGCCCCCTAGGGAATGTGTGATTGGAGCAGCGGGAGGGGGCAGTTTCCCTGCTGGGGGCAGAGTCCCGCCGAGCACCGGAAAGGCGACGCGCGGCCGGGCAGGGGCCGCCCGGTGCCCGGCTCTGCAGGGGGCGCCGCGGGCGGGAGGCGGGGCCGGGAGGAGCCGGGGCCGTGTCCCGAGTCCCGTGTCCCGAGTCCCGTGCCGCGCCGGGGGCGAGGGAGCGGCCGGGGGGGATGCGGCACCGCCTCGCTGCGCCTCCGATGTGAGGGACGGGCAGCGGCCCCTTCCCCGCCAGCCCCGGACCATGGCGGTCCCCGGTAGGTGCCGCGGGGCTTCTCCGCGCCGTGCTCCGGCGGGCCGCGGCTCTCCGCAGCTGCCCCGCGCCAAGCGGAGCGTGGCGGAGCCCTGCCCGCTCCCCCGCGGGGCGGTGCCGCTGAGGGCTCTGCGCGCCCCTGGCGCTCCGCTGCGGGCAGAGGGCGAGGGGGCTCCGCTCTCCGCGCTCAGGGAACACTGGCGCTCTTCAGAGCAGCGCTGCCTCCTGCGCTCCTAGCCGGGCTGCAGCGCTTTCTAGCTCGCCTTGCTTCGCTTGTCTGGAGTTCAGGGCTGCTGCTGGTAGAGCTTTCCTGCGTCTAAAGTGCACTTCGGCTTGGCAGATCAGCGAGCTCTGAGGGAGGGTGTTCTGTAGGGTAATTTCCCCTGTCCGCCTTTACTACTTGCATGTTTTTCTGTGATGTTTCATAGAGGTCAGTTTTTCTTAAATACTGCTTTATTCTTTAGCACCACTTCATTTTGGAGGTATAACTTGGTGCTCCTTGCCACAGTGGCCCAGGATCCCAAGCTGAGCTGGTTTGCCATAATTGAAATGTTTTAGCTGACATATGTGCAGGTAAAACTACCTAGAACAAGAGCTGCAGACTGAAGGGGAGAGGAGTTTAGCCTGTATTGTGTAAGTCTTGCTAATGCCCAATTTGCAAGTTCCTCTCTTTGCAGGGAAGCGTATGGGTTTTATCTAAAAAAGGAAAAAACGTGCCATTCTCAGGGTGTGAAGTAACATTTGCGTTTCATTGACCCATATCTCCTTGTGAAGTAAAAATAAGCTAAATGGAGGCCTCAGGAGACTTGTGGGCAAAACTACTTTTCTCTTTATAAACAGAAGGTGATTTCACAGAGACCCTTAAAAAGAGAACAACTTTAGATTAACGTATCGTAATGCAAATCTCTTGTTCTTCTCTGTGGAGTTTGGTTTGCAGAAATTTTGTCTGCTTTGATTCTGTTATTTCCTTTTGCTTGTTTACAGCATTTTATTTAAAGTGAAGATTTTCTGTTCCAGTCGAGGTAAGAAGTCTCATGTGATCACTATTACTGTGCATTCCGTGCATGCAGAGAATGCATGTATTTCATCATACATCACTTAAATACACACACTTCACATACTGAAATGTGGAAGGTGCTGAGGACTACTCTTAACGGCCCACCAGCAGTTTCTATCACTTCCTGGAAGTGCTCTCTCTTTTAAGAAGTTAATTATTAAGACTCTCTGAGTTGCGTTTCCTTTATACCATGGACAGTTGTCTCTCATGAAGAGCGAATTCCCACCTATCAAGGATTTTTGTTTTGGACAGTATTATTTCTGTATGCTCCATACACATGAGTCACAAATCACACTGCAACAGGTTACGTAGTGCCTTTCTCATGTAGTCAGAATTGGAGATGGATTTTTTTCTGGCAGATGAAGATAAATTGTTTGCCACTGCATATGGTCCTCTGAGTTGGAATGAAGGATTTAGATTTCTTTTAACCTGGTCTGTGGACAATGAGAAATCATGGTCTACTTATGAGAGGTATGTAAAAGATGACAGAGAAAAGTTTTGTATTACTGCAAGCCCTGGATATTCTTTATGGGGCCCACAAGTACAATGGAAAAGTTTATGGTCTGTAAATTGAAAAAGGGTCAAACCTTTTGGCTTATGGAATGAAATAATAGATAATAACAGTGGATAATGTAGGATGTAGTTTTACCCAGAGCTGATATGCCAGCTTCCCACAGAATTGTTTAGCTATTTCAGTGGTAATCAGAACCTAATGATATGGCCATAAACCACTATCACATGTTTGGGCTGAGCCTAAAGATTATCACATCACTACTTGCAGATATAGTCTGGATATGAGCCTGATTTGTTTGCTTCTCAGAGAGAGACCGTGAAGACATGACATGGTCATGCATACTTCTCTATGCTTGCCATGAGCATATGTGATTTTTACTGAATTGTTTCATCCTCTTCCATTCTATGTGTGGTTTGTGAGCTAGGGAAAGCTTTCTATCAGTATTTGTGCTGTTTAATTTGTGGGGCTTACACTTCAATTATAGGTCTTAGGCATTTCTATGGTACTGGTTTGTAATCTCATCAGTTTGTTATCGTTGCTGTGTAGTGAAGGGTGCAGTTTAACACTGGAGAGGCAGTTACAGCTGGAAAGCATTCCAAAGGTTATGGTTCATCACTGCAAACTACAACAGAACTGTGCCTTTACGATTTTCTATGAAGTAAATGAACATGCCCTGCAGTATTGTTAATAATGCTAACATTTTGTAAACAGAGGCAAAAGTATTTTTAATACTCTAAGCTTAGGAATCCAGTAACAAGGTATTGTTAAAATTTAAACTAGATCACACTTGAGAGTGTGAAAGATAGACTTGCACCAGCCAACCATTTTTCTTCATCTTGCTGTTTTATATAGTGTTCATGTATTTCTTCCTTTAATTGAAGACTTTCCTGAAACCAGTCTGTCAAAAGCATTGTCAAACCATCTATCTAAGGGCAGGGTTTAAGGAAATAAAATGTTTGGTGTTCACCAAAGGATTTCCCTATATGCTTATGAGAGGCAGAGTATACATTATGTTTTGAACTGTATTCTCTTGAGTTTTTCTGATGTTTGAGGAATTGTGAAAAACCTCCCTGAAATGTTCTGTGTTCTTTTTACATGGTTCCCTGAGGACTGGACAGTAGTTAGTGCTGCAAAAGCTGCTATTTGGTTAGACAAATAATAGCATTGTCCAGGAAGGAGAGTCCTGAGTCATTCTTCTTTTAAAGGAGAATGTTGCAATTGAAGTTATTTCTAGATTTTTGGGGAATTTTTTAAACAGTCCCAATGCTGACTTAAGCTTATTTAGCTCTGCAAGACCCACTTCCAGTATTTTTGCTTACGAACATGGAGCGTTACTTGTGCTCTACATGTGGAGTCAGTAATTTTATTTCTCAGTTCTCGTTTTAGCAGCATTGCTCCTCAGTTGATTGCATGTGTGTAAAAGGCTGTAGGAGCTGAGGGAAGAAGGCCTGAGGGGAGCTGGTGCAGCTCTGTTAAGGGGAATGGTGTTCTTGTAGAGCGGTGCTAGCTGGGAAATCAACACCTTTCCTGAACACCACAGGAAGTTCCTTCCTGCTGGATGCAAAGGTTGCCCTGCTCTGGCAGGGAATTTGCAGTAAGTCTGTCCAGTTTGCATCCTTTATCTACCTAGCAGAGAAGGGAGGGATTCTTGCATACTTAGTGCCCCTGCAGTGCAAGGCATGTTTAAAGTCAGTGGCTCTTCCACCCTGTCTCCAAGTACAGATGCTTACTTTCATTGAAAGCCTGGAGAAGGGCGTGTTGGCTCACAAGGGGAGCTGTGGAAGCTGTGTGATTGTGCTTCCTCAAGTGAATGGCAGGATTAGTTGTTCCATTTTATAGAATGTTAAAGTGCCCAGGAGGCCACTACTAATTCTTCCAGAGACTGGAGGTGGGGCTGCTGCCAGAGCAGAGAGCACCAGGGTAGGACTTTGAGAGCTTTGGGCACACCTCAGAGAGTCATTGTGTGGTCTCCTCATCTGTTGAGGTTGGGCTTATCTGGCCAAGGCGCAATGCGTGGGCTCCATTCTCAGCAGACAGTTGTGCTGTCCTTTCCCACTGTACTGCATGCAAATCAGCCCAGGGCAGTGGAAGCAGAAGTCTGTGGTATATCTCCCTTTCTAGAATAAAACTTGAATTCTGCTTGGTTTTCATGTTTTTGCTCATGTAATTCTGTTGGTTTTGCCTGGTGGTGTTCAGCCACCATCAGTGATATGTTGGCCATGGGAGTGTGTTCACTGGTGTGAAAGCCGTCTTATTTCACCACAGTTCTGCACTCTTCGGTTAAAGACCCCAAGGTTTTGAGTCCCGAGGACTCCACTTTGAGTTTGCTGGATCCTCTCCTTTGGGAATGTTGTCTCCTACAAGCCTCCATCTGTGGTTCTATATTCACTCCCAAACATGCAGCTGTCCTAGTGACTGTATCAGCACTGCACTGGTCACGTTCTCCATAGGTAGGAGATCATCCTTCCACTGCTAGAGACTTCCTTATTTATGCAGGTAACTGGAACACTGTTGGTCAAGCACTGAGCACATCTCCATTCTTCTCAGTTGCATCACTTCTGCTGAGCTACTGTTTAAAGCTGTTAATTGTATAGTTTAGGGCTGGGGTCCCTCAGCTTAGACATTGTTTCTGCCTTAATTTCATAATGAAGGTTCTGGGGAAGGTGATGGAGCCAAGTCTTTGGAGTCTGTGCAATTTTGGTTGAATTTTTCTAAGGTGACTGTTAAACTGTCATCTTCAGGTAAATTCACTCTGCAGATCCTCTTTTTGACCACCAAATTTTAGGTATTGCTCTCTGCTTTAATTGGAAAAAATTGCCTTTGCTTGCATCATGATGGAGATGAAAATGTTGACATTTAAATAGTCAAACTGGAATTAGTGACAATTTGTTAACAAGACTTTAAATGCTCAGCTCTGAAATTTACTGTGGACCTGAGCTATAAACTTCAATTTTGAGGAAACTTTTTCATTAGTAAATAGAAAAATTAAATTTAGACTTAAAAGCTTCCTTGAGCTTGGTGGGAGAGCACTGCATCATGTCACACTGGTTGAATTTGCATCTACTCTTAGCAAGCTGTTAATATTTTTGTGCCAGAGCACTGAAATGCATGAGTCTGTAGGTAGAAGCTGTCTCTAGAGAATTGTGGAAGAAGTCAACTTTGGTGGGCATATTTTGACCTGTCTTATGGCCACCACCATTGTATTAGTTCTTTCCCTCTAAAGGGAGGGAATTTTTGTCACTCCAAAAATGGTCGGGAAAGCTTTGATGGCAATTTTGAGGAAGGACTCTAACACAGCCCTGTGGAATGTCTGAGGCCTGAAGGACAGAGTGGCTGTGGTGCAAGCACTGGGGCTGATGTTCCCTCAGTTGCATGCATGCTTTTCAGGCAGTTTGCTTTCTGCTGCAAAGAGAGCAAATATCTAACACCACGGGGGCCATAGTGACTTCCTGTAGGCGTTGTGTGACCTCATTTGTTATTTTAGGTGTGCTGTTATTTTTGGTGTCTGCTTGGGCATGTAATGATCTGCAGTTGCGTTGCAGAGACCATATAATTGCCTAAAATGATTTTAACTTTTCTTGTGAGAGTGAACTCCCCTTTTCAAGCTAGTTTGTTCTGAAGGTCTGGTTTTTGTGGCTTTTTTTTTTCCTTATCAGAATGCTTTAAATCTGTAAATCTCTGCGTAGTTTGTTTCTCTTGAAACTACATAGGGAATGCTCTCCTTTATAGGAAGACCATTTTAATTTTTTTCATTTTTAAGAATGAAAAAAACTACTTAAATTTGGTGGAGTAGATGCAAGTAGGAGTTAATTCATCCTTAGAGTTGCTTTGTGGCAGTGAACACCTCACTTTAGATAGAGCTACTGTTTTTTTGAAATGCTTTGTAGCTTCTGACGGGAATTAGAGACAGTGCTGTGGGGCTTTGTGTTCCAAAGCTGCGGGTGAGTTCATGGTTTGAATTTAATCCTTTCTCTTGTGATCATCTCGCACTTGTACAGGAGCCCCTGGAGAATATGATGTGCTGATTGTGTATGCAAGTGACGCCGCTGAATGGTGCCAGTACCTGCAGAACCTCTTCCTCTTTACTTGGCGAGTGGGAAAGCAGCGCATCCTGAGCTACCAGCTGCAGGACAGCTCTGCCATCTCCCAGCAGGAGCTGCACCTCTTCAGCCGGAGTCGGAGTATCATCCTTCTGCTTTCTGCTGAGCTGGTGCACAGTTTTTACATTCCTCACATCCAGCAGAGCCTTCAGGAAGCTTTATGGCCCCCGTGCAAAGTGGTCAAGCTGTTCTGTGGTGTTACGGACTGTGATGACTTTTTGACCTTTTTCAAGGACTGGGATCAGTGGCAAGAACTCACAAATGATGATGAGCCTGATGCTTACCTTGCAGCTGTTGAGAGGGCTATTTCAGAAGGTAAGACCATAGCTAGGAGCTGTGCTTTCTTCTTGAAGGAGGGAGATATGTGGTGCTGTTTATTCTTATTTTTACACTGGTAAAGTGCTTTACTTAAAGAGCAAACTAAAGCAAATTGTCCAACTCTTGTAAATAAGAAAGTTATGCAAGCAAATTTTTCTATGCCTGGTTGGTTGGTCCCTAATTCAGGAGAAATTACCAGCAACTCACAGAGAACTTCTGAATTTGAGGTTGTCTTGGGTGGCTGCTTTTGAAGCAAATTGAAAATGAAAACTTTCTATATTTAAAATTCTGTCTGTAAATATTGTATTCTGTAGTTTATTGACCCAAATCAATGGAAAATTGTCTTTTTAAAATTTATTTTAGGGAAAAGGATTATCTTTTTCTTCAGACTTGTTTCTGTCGTACCAGAACCAAAATAGTCTAGTATGTGTTCTTTAACATTGGGCCTAAAATCAAAGATGTAACCATACTGGCAGCAGATCACTTTGTTTCCTGTGATGAAAAGGCAGAGATTAATGAAGAATTCCACTGGTGGCCTTAAAAATAACCCAACCAGTCTGAAGGTGATCCCCTTGTAACTAATGTAGAGTACTTACTAGCAGAGAAGTATTAAGAGCTGGAGACCACACAAACCCAATGTACTGAGTTTTCATCAATTCCAAATTTTCCTAAACTCTAGAAGAGTGTGTAGAATTACTTTCTCATAGTTTCTGTTGAAATGAAGGTGGAGAGCTCTGGGCAGTCGTGGTGGCCTGGGTATTTTTATGGCATTGCCATAGGTAGGGTTATAGTGTTCTTTGTCAGCCTCAGCAAGACTGGAATCCTGTGGTTGCATCTTGGCTTAAGATTTATCTCTATTCCATGGCATAAGTGAGGCAGTGTGTCCAGTGTTGTGTGCATAAAGGCTCTGGAGTCTGACTTCTCACTTCTAAAGTCCTTCTGTACCTGTGCTGCAAGTTAGCATAGGCTGAAACAAGCTGTGCTTTGGCTTTATGTAGGTGTTCTGAAAGGGAGTTTGGGCTTGGGACTATTATTGCTGTTTCTACATGACAAAAAAAAAAATCAGCTTGTTTTCTGTTTTCTCACTTTAATAAGCATACATTGATCTCAAACTGATTTCAGCATATCTAGAAAACACTTGACTGGGAGAAAAAAAAATGATGTAAAAGTAAATTCATTTTCTGTAACATGTTCCAGACAGTTTGGTACACAAAGATTCAGAATTTCTGGGCTTTGGTTACTGTTATGGCAGTCATAGCTGATGTGGCTGTCACCTGCATGCCATGTCAAGTTTTTGGTTTGTGCAAATCAGAGCAGTTGCAAAGGTGAGCCATCTGCTGTCACTGTGGTTCTTGTGAAGGAAGAACCTATTTAAGGTGGGCTGCTTTCATGGCCAAAGTATTTGGATTAATGTATCAGATCCTACTTCTGTGTGGGGAAAAAATGACTCTGACCTCTTCTATTGTGTGCTTCTATACAAGTTCTGTGAATGGCCTCAAATGCAAATGTTCTGATGTTTCCTCTGAAGACAGCCCCAGGTGTACATAGTTCCTTTTTTGGTTGAAACTGTGAAAACTTTCTTCTTGGCTGGTAAAAAAAAAATCTGCTGCATGATTTGGTTGCAGCATGAGTAACTTAAAATATTTGTGACAGCAGACCTCTCCCACAGAGAACCACAGCCTCTGCTCTGGTCTTAGTTAAATTTAAATTTTTCCTGATTAAGGCAGCCCTTAATACTTACAGCACTTAGCAGAGAAAGTTCATGACCATATTTGAAATTGTTTGGGTCTGGGTGTCTTCCTCTGGGAAGTTCTTCACATGCACTCACCTGTACTTCTAACAGCAGCATCAAAACTAGGCCTGATGCTAAAATTACTCTGCTTCAGCTTTGAAATTGCTGACTCCTGAGCTAGTGAGGCCTGGTACAGGGCTACAGGATGCAGTCAGGGCAAATTCTTCTCCAGAGGCTGCACACTGGCCCTGTGCAGGCTGTGCTGTTGCCTCTAGCACAGCTGTTGGTGTTTAGGGCATCATGGGACTATGGCACCCAGACACCACATGCTGAAACTTATGTTAATTTTTATTATTTTAGTAGAAATTCAGAAATGAGGAAACATTTATCTAGCCTTGTTGACAACTGTGTGCTGATGCTGCCTCTTGCTCTCTTGTAGATGTGGTATTTTTACTTCTAAAGTTTCTCAATTCTGGGAAAACTACAGATCACATGAAGGTTTGCATTTGCAGGTACTCCTCTTATCTGTGGTGAAGTTTTTTCAGACTATGCAATAACTGTGCTAAGGTGATAGAAATCATAGAATTATTATGGGTGGACAAGATTTTCAAGATGGAGTCCAACTACTAACCTAACACTGCTATGTGTACCACTAAACCATGTCCTTCAATACCACATCTATGTGTTTTCTTGAACAGTTCCAGGCATGGTGATCCCAGCACTTGCCTGGGCAGCCTGTTCTGGTGTTCAACCACTCTTTCAGTGAAGAAATTTTTCATAGTATCCAATCTAAGCTTCCCCTGAAGCAACTTGAAACTCTTTCTTGTCCTGTTGCATGTTACCTGAGAGAGTCTACAGCCTCCTCTCTGGTAGTTGTAGGAAGCAGAAAGTTCCCCGAGTCTCGTTTTCTCCAGGTTAAACAATCTTGTTCAGGATGTCTGTACACAGCAGCTCAGGTCCAGCAGGGTACAGTGACCAGCTGCTGCCTAACCCCTCTTGCCTGGCCTGTGACAGCTGTGCTGTGCATTGAGCAGCTGGGAGTCTGAGCCACAGTCCGAGGCAGTGATCTTTCTCTTCCTCATGTGTTCTCAAAGCTCCTGTGACATTTCAATTGCTTCAGGGTATTTGTCCCTACCTATGTTGCTTTGAAACATTTCAAATTTCCCACTTGAAAAGCTGATGTTTCCAAAGCATTTACTAATTCATCAGTGGCTTTGAGCTCTCTGCATCCAAGCCATCTCTTGAGGGTAAAAACACGGGGATGTCCACATGTGCCTGAGATGGCTGAGGTGGTAATTGAATATGACAGCAGCAGTGAACTGTGCTGCTGGAGGACAAGGGCAGCCTCGGCTGAGCAGAGCTCTTGTGCACTGGAAGAGACAAGAATGAAAGATGAGTACCAACAAACTTTTTGTGAAATAAGAGGTCAGAAGTCGGTGTAAGGAAACATATGGTGAAGATGGAGGGCCTTGGGCTAGTAGAAGGAAGATGAGAACTTTTTTTAACTTTGTAGGTCAGGAAGAGCTGAAATGTTATGCCACTTTCAGAGGAGCTCATTAACAGATGCCAGAAACCATGGTAGAAAGCTTTTTTGAGAGGGAAATGGCATAAGAACCACATAAGCTGTATAATTCTTCCTCCTGTTCATGTCAAGGAATTGAATTGAATTTCTGGCTTTCTTCTGTTGCACTGATGAAACCACAGATGAGACTTGAGATCATATTCAGGTTGGAAGGGACCTCTTGATATCATCTAAACTTTCTGCTCAAGCATGGTTAAATAAAGCAGGTTGCCCAAAACCATTTCCAGTTGGGTTTTGAATGTCTCTGCAGGTGGAGACTGCAGCACTTCACAGCCTCTCTGAGCAACCTGTTTCAATGTTTGACCACCCTCAAGAGTAACAAAATGTTTTCTCGTGTTCAGATGGAACTTCATGCATTTTAGTTTGTGCACATTGCCTCTTTTCCTGTCAGTGAGCACTATGGAAAAGTCTGGCCCCCTCTTTTTCATTTTCTGCTATCTTGTCCATATAAGATTCCCCTGAGTCTCTGAGTCTTCTTTTCCCCAGGCTGCAGAGTTCCAGCTCTTGCAGCCTCTCCTCTTATGGAAGATGCTGTGGTTCCTTAATCATCTTTATGGTCCTGTGCTGGACTCAAGCTGTAAAGATAAACCTTGGAATAAGCTACTCAGAATTTAAGGTCATGTTGGACAGATGTTCTCAACCCAGATAGGTGAAGTTGTAGTACATGTGAGATTCCTTACAGCTTTTTGTTTCTGTAATTATTTGATTTGATTTGTTTACTTTTGCTAATAGCTGCCATTTAGGGCTAGAGACCTAAATTCACAAAGTATTTTTAAACTTGATGGGAACTATCATGTGGTGTTTACTTCTCCACTCTCAGTGCTCTGTAGAGGAATATGTTCTGAGTAGTTCTATCTCAGCTAATTACATCCAACATTGACTTCTGCCAGCTGATTGGTCTCGAAGATGTGAGGTGGTAGCATGCAGTTCTCTCTCCCTCCTCTTTGAAGGGGTAAAATTAAATGAATTCTTAAAGCAATATTTTTCTCTGTTCTATCTTGTTCAAACATAAGATGTGGTTCTTTGACCCTGCTCACTGCAGAGGAGTGGGTGAGCTATTAGTCAGCCTCTGGGTGCAAATGAGAGCCTGCTTTGTTATACGGCAGCTCAGCAGCCTGGCTGGTTCTCACTGCCTGTCAAGGAGAGGAAACTGTGACGCTCTTGCACAGGAGTTCAGGTTGAGAGAACGTGCTGGTTGCATGCCTCTCTGTGCATGGGTATGCATGACTGATGCTGGAAAATCAGACACTTTAGAGAGCTGGTTAAAGCAATTGGAGAAACCTTAACTAAGCTCCCAAGTGATACTGAGAGTTCTCTGAGAGAAATGAGTGGATGTTCTTATCCATCTGTAGCATATGGGGTCAAGCAGTTAAAATAATCTTTGCAGCTGCAGAATTGATTGTTTGTCATCAAGGTGTTTCATAAAGTCCCAGTTTATTTACATAAAAACACATCATGGGTTTTCTTTCATGGCATTATAAAATTCAAGCAGTGCTAGCATAGGTGCATATTAGCTTTCTAAATAGAGACAGTGATAGCCCAGAAATAGTAAAGGACAAACTGTTGTGGTTAAGAATTTTAGGCTGTTATAGTCTTTATGCACCTTGTAAATACTAAGCGTATTTCTCTGTGGCTTGTGGTTCTGACAATCTCCTCACAGGTTGCTTTATGGTCTCAGACTAA